TTAAGGCACAAAGGTACTTGCCCAAATTATTTTATGTGCAACAACTTTAAGATGCAAAGTAAAGCTTGAAGCCATTTCCTGGGACAATGTTTGTTTACCCGATTTATTGTTAGGTATGATGAAATTGCTTTATCCAAAACTTCTTGTAGCTGTAATCTATGTAATGTGGCATAAGAAACTGTTATCTTTACTGAAACCAGATTTAACATGTGAATATAGCACACAACTTTCATAAGTTTATTTAGATGTTTTTGCCAAGCTTTACATTTCAAGCCAGTTCCACCAGTTTTTTATGGGATTATTCACAATAAGTAGGTAATTTAACTGCAACAAAAACTATTTTGTGTAACAAATTATGGTTTATTTTCTATTACTACAATACACAATAAAAACAATTATTGGTTTAAATCAAATTATTCTAGATAATTTTTAAACAGTAACAGTTGTATTTGTAAAGATCCACTTGACTGTTTATTTTTTATTGAAATTTCCCTAAATTAGAGAACAAAAATTTGAATTTTGGAGAAGAAAATTTCCAAAATGTAATTCACAGTCATTTTAGATAATACAAGAGAAAGAATCAAAATACTGTTTCTGAACCATTTCTGTAAGTACTACTGCAATTGTTACTATTTTGATCTATAATACAGCAGAGGCAATACGGAATTTTGATTTGATTCCTTTAAAAATATATATCTAAAAATCATGTCGACAAAACAAAGTAATTTGTCTCCAATTGCACTTCATTTTAAAACTACTAAATTTACAAACATTTTATTCAAATAACTCCAACACTTAATATTAGACTCTGTTCCATACAGTCTATAATAAAATTTTGAGACAAATTGTAACAACATTTTTGTCAATCTCAAAAAATATCTTGCAATTTTTTTGCTTATCCCTTACTATCAACTTTCCTTAAGTTCATTCAAAATATTTTATAAAATATTGATGCAGGAAGTAATCATTGATTTTATGACAAAAGAAGGCAACAAATATGATGTTTTGATTTAATAATAAGTCATGGTACTGTCATCAGAGAGCATATCAAAATAAATCCCAAGGGTGCCATTAACTTTTGTACTTTTTGTGATTAGAAATATTAAAAAATCTTTAAATAAAACTATCACAAATTAATCAAGCTTGGAATGTGTAACAACATTACAGTATTTTATTGAAAACTGTAATGGTATTTTTCAGAAATAAATAATGGATGTATATATAAAAAACACTATATATATGGGAAAACTATATATAGTGTTTCCTGCATCTTCCGCCAGTCACTTGTTGAAAAAAGATTATGTTCGATTCAATTATTCGATGGAGAGTTCGTTTTGTCGGTGAGCTTCATCTAAAATCTTTCTGGCACCCTGACGTAGAAGTCTGTCGGCCAGGGCGATGCCTAACTGTTCGGCCAGGTGTGACAGTTCCTCCGATATTCCTAGATTTATGATTCCGCAGTGTTCTTTAAGTTTCTCTTCAGTAATCTGAAATACAAATTAATCAATATTGATTAAACTCCCCTGAAAAATTCTGTTCTTAACCTTTTTTAAAAAATCAATCCTTTAAAAAAACTTCTTAAAAGATTTAAAAAAAAAAATATAGTTGTCTTCTGTATTAACCTTTGAACTTTTAATCTATAACCACATTTTATCAGAGACAAAACTACTAAGGATTACAACCATTAGCTTTTATTACAATACAATGCATTTCCACCCCTCTTCATGTAATGTCAGGTAATACATAACTACAATAGGGAAACACACAGTTGTTACAAAATTATTACAAATTACAGCATTCAAATGATTTATCTTATAGCAAACTAATATCTTTTGCATACAGCGCTCCACTGTATTGATGTCCTACCCTTGAGGCATCGTTCTAACAGCCATTTGTCTGTTTGTGAGCTATTTTGCCCTACCACTTCTGTCCATATGTCATCTCCATCCCATTATTTAAGTTAATGGTGTTGTGTGCACTTACAATCGTGAAACACCATTAACTTAAATAATTTTTTGCTCAAAATGCATTGTATTGTAATAAAAGCTAACGGTTGTAATCATTAGTAGTTTTATCTCTGATAAAATGCGGTTATAGATAAAAAACAACAGTTGTCTTCTGTATTAACCTTCAAAGTTTTAATCTTTTAAAAAAACTTCTTAAAGGATTGATTTAAAAAAAAAAATTTTTTCTTACTTTTATAAATGAAAATACAGTATATACATTTTTGGGATGAGTTATTTGAGTTGTTAACAAGATTTTAGTTTGCTTACAACAAAGGAAAGAATTTTTGGAGTGTTATTAGGATAAAAGTTGTAGATTTAATTGATATAGTATTATTTTAGTGATTAACTTCATCTAATTCAAGTTCATTTCTCAACTTTTAGAGAGTATAATTTTAATTACTAGTATATATTCTATACGAACAGTTTATTTCTGCTTAAATATATTTAAAATAACATCTATCTATGAAATTTCTTTCATGTGTATTCTGCTGGATAGTTCAAACATAGTTGAATTTAGAAATTATATCGAATTATTTGAAGATAATACTATGAAAAATATTTATTTCTGAATTACTATATACAGAAGAAGATACCTCTTTTTGAAGTTTACATTCTACAAAACACTCCAACATTTGTAAATTTCCATATTTATAAGATAAATACATTAAAACATTGAGGCTAGGAGATTGAAAAAAAAAATATATATATATGTTACAAAATAAAACCACATTATTTTCATACAAATTTCATATAACTGAAATTGTTTTGCACCAGGTACAGCTAAAAATCTATATATAACAGCACCTATTTCTAGTAGATATAAAGCTCTACCATCCCCAAGTGGTAAGGATGAAAGGAAAGATGATGTCTGTGGCATCGCCAGTTCCGATTTTTAAACTTGTGTTTTTAAGGAAAGTTTTAATTTTGACAGCCAAGTAGCCTGCAGAGAAAGGTCGGTTGTCAAAAGTTTGTATTCCAGAACACTGTTTAAAAAGGAACCATTAATAAAAACATAATAAATATTGAGTTATTTTAGCTTGCATGAACTTATTTATTTTTAAGAAAATTTTTTTGGTAATTTTGGTCTGTAAGTTTGGTTGCATTAAGAAGTAGTCTTTGGTCTCTTTCAAACTGAGAATGTTTTTTTTTTACATTTTCAATATAGTAATAATTCAAAAATAAATATTTGTTTTCAGTATGAAGCATAAATTCTCATATTGAAAACTTAAACAGTTACATGTCTGCATTTGAAATAAGCATAATAAATCAATCATGATTCATGAAGTATTATTTTTAGTAACTTGTTATTGCATCAGCAAAACATCAATATATAAGCATGATGATAATTTGTTTAGAAACTGAATGAATTCAAGATTAATTCAAAATTAATTGTACATAAAATATAAATGCTTTCAGAAACCATTTGTATTATTGTTTTGCTACATTACTAAATTGATTTTGAATTTCCTTTTTTCAAAATTTAACAGTATAAATAAAAGAATCAAATTTAAGAAAAAATATTTATTAATTACTATGTTTAAATCTATATAATATAGAATTTATCTCTAACCTGATTAAAAATTTGTGCCAAAGGAGTATGAATGTAGTTATTCACTTGATCCATCATCATCATTTTAACAGAGAGACCAGAAAATGGTGAAAATAATGCATGGCTTTCCATTGACGGCTTAGATGTTACAGACCCTACTGGATGCATACTCTGAATTTGATAATATAATGTTATATCCATCCACAAAAAGTACATCAGTAGTAGTAATGAAACCACTACTGTTGCCCTATACTCTAGTATGGCAGCCATCATGTTACGGAATTTTTCTGCAGCTTCCTTCTGCAATTTTTCACTGCTTCTTAGTCCAAATGACATACATCTACAATTATATCAAAAAAAAAAAAAAAAAACATTCAATTTTTCAAATTTATTAAGTACATTTTCTAATATAAACTATAACTAATTCCTGCAACTATTTTTATATTTTATTCCATAAAAAATGAGAAACAAATATTATTTATTTATTTATTTAAGAAGCTTCTATTGCTTAAAAATAAATTAATTTCAATTTTTTTAAAAGTTAGCGCATCATAAGATTGAACTTAACAAACACATACTTGCAGGATTATAGGAGCTGAGGTATTTAATTAAGGATAAAGTGTTTCTCCAGACCTTTCATCTCAGCTTCAGATTTCCTAACTCATCTGAGAAGAAATGTCATGTAAAACATTTTATCCTTAAATAACTCGGCTCCTATAATCCTGTATGTTCATTGTGTTAAGTTTATTTCNAATTTTGTGCTATATGGCAACTGTAAGTTCTGTTAAATTTTGCTAAGCATTTAAAAAAATGTTACATTAACTAAAGATTATATCATCATAAAAGTAATTTATTAATCATATTAAAATTAAACAAATACCAATTTTATTTAGTTGTTTGATCTAACTAATTTTTTATCTAAGAAATTTATGGAAATTATACAGAATTCATATTAAAAATTGTGAAAAAATTAATTGCTTTTTTATATCACTATTTGAAGTTTTAATGTGTAAAAAAGTTTACTTGCAATATTAAAATACTACCAAAGAGAGAAATTGTTTTTGTAAGTGTAATCTTGTCATGTGTATTGTAAAACAGTTTATATAAGAGAGGTTAACCCAAATTTTAAAATTCAACATTATCTTGTTTAGATAAGGTTTTTTGCATGTTGCAAAATAAAATCCTATATTTACTTTTGTAAAATATTTACATATTCAAATGGCAATTGTTTTTGTAGAATGTGTAAAAGTAATATATATTATATTATGAAATTTATAACTACAGCTAAAATTTTAGAAGAATTATATATATGCTTAATGGAAAAAAACACTGTGCTGGAATTTATTGTTTTAAAGTATTTTCCAAGTATTAAAATTAAGTTTTTAAAAAATTGGCAAAATAATTTAATAATAAGACACTAGTGTAAAAAATAAGGAAATACATACTGCTTCAGATTCTGAAACTTGATGATTTTCCAGTAGTGAATGATATGCATCAACATAATGATCCCAACAGAAGGCACTTAAGGCTAACTGAAAGCCAAAACAGCAAGCTACAAATAATGCTTTTCCAGGATTAACTATTGGAGGAGAATAAACAGGAGTCATTCCATTTTTATCAATACCTCCATCATCATTATGAACTGGAAGGTAATATTTTGATTTATTGAAAGTTTTGCAGAGATAGATATAGCATCCATATAAGAAAGTACCAAATCCAATAGCGTCTGCTAAACCATCAACTACATAACCACTTGTATATCTTAATGACACGTGCTGTATGACCCCAAGCCTGGCTCTTGCTACAATACCATCTAAGGCATCTAACCAAGTACGTATTTGGAATAATAGGACGGCTATATAATGCATGGTCAAATTGTCTGCAGAAACACATTTGGCAGCTGCGAGAGCAAATAAAACACCCAAGAAACTAATCATATTTGGAGTAATGAAGTAAAATACATCACTGAAATGGCTAACCTGAAAAAGAAATATTTTAAACTAATCAATATATTTTTTTTAATAGTAAAAATATTTTATCATAAAAAATTTTTAATTTAATAATAGTTTCTGTATAATAAAATTGCCATCTTTATAATAAAGAGATAAAAAATGCATTAATAACTAAATTTTAAAAAATCTGACTATGCATTTTTACAGTATTTTAATTCAAAATCAAACTTTTTTCTGTATTATAAATTCAATATGTAGGTGTTGTAGATTTAACTTTTACTCCAAAATTAATCTTTTTTCTAGATGATTTTTTTAGCTTACTAAATAATTGATAAATTTAAAATCTCTATGAAATCTCAATTCTAATCAAATTAAATTAATAGCATAAAATTATGGAAAAATATAGGTTTTTATTGTTTATTTTGTTTTTAGAAAGTGAAATTCAACAGCTGACTGAATGTAAGCAGAAAGACAACATTCCTTGTTATCTTTCTGCTTATATTCAGTCAGCTGATTTGCTATAAACACTAAAATACATAAACTTTTAAAATAAAAGCTCTAAAACAAAATAAAGATTTTAAATAAAACAAACTGTTTAATTAATAAATTACTCTCAAACTTTACAAAAAGTTTCCATGATAGAACAGAATATTCAATATATATTATGTAGTTATATCCTTAACAATTTTATATTAATTTGATACTTTTAAACAATTACCTTCTAAAAAAAAAATTAAAATTATACAACTTGTTTAAAATTTAAATTTTCTAAGTGTTACATGTTATTTTTGACATATAGCTGAAACTAGATGCTATAATTAATAACAGCTGATGCAAATTTTAAAAATAAAATTTGATAAGGTAAAATTTATGAAATATTTGCTTAATATTTTTATTCATAATGACATTTTTTAGTCAACTGAAAAAGGATAAATTATTATATTTAATACTCATATTACAGGTAATTATAAAACAAAATATTAGCGCACATGTTTATTTCTAAAAGTCGAAACTGTCTATATTTAATGTGTTCCTAAAAATGTATACAAAAGTTCAATGACAAGTAGCATGTTGTAAAGGAAGTTCCATTTCTAGAGAATTAAAAAAAGATTTTTCTAATTTTAAGGGATAAGAAAATTTTAGTTTTCTGCAATGAATATTACAAAATATCAATCTACGATTTTAACATTTTATATAAAGAGAAAACAGTCAATAGAGAGGTTGCAGCCGACATTTTCAATGCGAAAACGTGTACATCTGATGCTCAGCATCATCTTCCTACAAGCCTAGAAGTTTGACAATGGCGTTTGGAACATCAGTAGAATCGTGCTCGACTTTCCAAATGCCATCGTCAAACTTATAGGCTTACAGGAAGATGGCACTCAATGTCCAATGTACAGGTTTTTGCATTGAAAACGTTGGCCACAACCTCGCTAATAAAAGTTAATTTTCACAAATGACTTTTAAATTTTAGCAAAATGGAAAAAGGGAGAATGTGAAAATGTATGAAAAGCAATTTAGGAGTATGAAAGGGCAAGTTGTCTAAAAGCCAAGGACTATCTATATTATCAACACACATTTTTCTGTTCTTAGGTATTTCTAAATACTGTTCTACAGTTGACCAAATATCATATTGTGATAGTAATACTTTTTTCTGGCATGAAATAATATAATTAAATGCAATTTCTTAAAAATAATTAAATTATCTTTTAAACAAAACATCAAATATTATTTAATGTTTTTTCTCTGAATTCAAGAATTCTGAATTTCATTTCTTTGAATATATTTAGAAAGGGGAAAAAAGAATTTAAAATATCTTGATATTTTAAATTCTTTTTTCCGTTTCTAAATAGTATGATATTATTCATGTTATATAATTTCAAAAATATATTAAAATCAATATTAGAATGTTATTTATATTTTGTATTACTTTCTTGTATATAAATGGCACGCATTAACATTTCTAACTCCATATATTTTATTGATTTATGAACATTTTATATATTAATTTTTCTAAATTTAAAAACATATTTTTTAAAGAATACTCAATAGAAAACAAGATATATCATCTTATTAAATATTACGATTCAATTTGAATGTTGTTACTTCAAGCTTGATGATATGTTTGTTATTATTTGTTATAGCTTAGCAACTATCACATATATTCATGTTGAATATTTTAATTATAAATGACTTCTTTTAAAATCCTCTTTATCCTTGTTAAATAAAAACGTGTGCTTTCTAATTTTATTTTTTTTTAAACCAGAATACAGTAAAAAAATTTGGAGCAGAATGGTCAAAACATCAGTAGAGAATAAATATAATAAAACTATAATATTTTTTTCTAAATATTTTGTGGTAAAAAGAGGTGTATCTTATATGCCACAAAATACAGTAATATTTGAAAACAGTTCAGATTATTAATATTAGATATAATGAAATATTGAAGGATTCAATAAAACTAAAAATTGTAATGATAAAAAAAAGATTTAAATGCATGATGATATATATATTAGACCAATATATGATGTCAAGTTTGCAATTCTAATTTTTATTAGACAGATAGCAGCAGATCACACCAAGAAAGTAATTTTCTAATTTTCCTTCATTTAGCTTCTTGTTTGGACCTGTACTAAAAATGTTATTTCAGCCACCTAATAGTGCTTTTTCTCCAAACTTATAATATACAAAAGTTGTTGCGATAACAATCTTCCGTTTATTTTTTTTAAGTACCTTTAACAAAATGCATTTGGGACTCATATCATCCCTCTTCAGTTGTTTTACAGTTGTAAAATATTAAACTGTACAAAACAAAGGTACAAATAAATTCCTGATTTTTAACTTTACAAAAGTATGCCATTAAAGTATATACATTAAGGTAACACTTACATTTGGTATACATACTGGATTATTAGATACACATTTGTTACCAAAAGATTTGGATAACAAATGTATATTTAATAATCCAGTATGTACAGTACATCAAATTTTTATATTTTACCAACTGTAAAACAACTGAAGAGGGATGATACAAGTTCAAAATGCATTTTGTTAAAAGGTACTTAAAAAGAATAACAGAAGATTGTTATAATATACAAAAGTCGTCGTGATAAGTTTGGCAAAAAAGCATTTAGATAACTGAAATAAACAAAAAACGTTTTTTCCTGTTTTCTACTCAAGAATACTCGGTTCTAAGGAAGCTGTATTATGTATGAAATTCCTATTAAAGCATTTATGATTAATTGTGAAGTTTGGAAGAAATTTGATTATATTATAATGGATAATAACAGAATTAAATTTGTAAGGAAATTTACATTTCTTACAACATATTTTCAAAGAAGATTGAATACTTAATAACAACATGAACTGCAGTAAACATATAATGATTAATTTTAAAATTGGTTTATTTCAATAAATTTGATTTATTTGAATTTTGAAAATTTTGGCAACTTTTTTTCCCCCCATGTAATAAAAAAAAATCAGGTTAACCAAAAATGCATATGTTTAATAAATGAATAATGATAAAACTTGGAGATCTTGTTTATTCATCTTCAATTGATTATTACTAATTTTCTGATTAAAAAATAGTTTTGAGCTATTATTATTATTATTATTTTAGTTTATAAATACAATAACTATATTTTAAAAGCCATCTTTTCTGAAGATATAATCAAAACTTTAATGAAAATTATGATATATATTTTTCAAAATTTTTGTAACATGATATTACAGTTCAGTTGTATAAAATTTAAACAGACTCTTAATATAAACAAAATTATTTACACATGTTGTTATGTTTATTAATTTTTCTAATTTTTCATATAAATCTATAAACAAATAATTCAATTCATATTAATATAGTATCTACTTATTCATATTTTCCTAAATCTATTTAACTTTATCATTAAGTAGTTAAAAATTTTAATTAAATTACCATATCTTAATTATGAATGTTACATTAGTATTGTTATTTCTTAATGAAATAAAACACTATTTTTTCTATAAATCTAAGATTTTCCATTCATCTGAATGTCATAAAGATAAAAAGTGATGTCTTTAAAACATCAGTCTGATTACATCCAAATTAAATAATTTATTATTATTGTATTGTAGACAACAAATATCATAAAGTAATTGTAGTGAATTTGTTATAACTGATAATCATCACATGCATTTTAAATCAGAAAAATTTGTTTTCATAGAAATTAAAATAATTGAAATTCAGAAAATTAGTAAAAATTAAATAAAAATAAGAAATAAAATCTAATTATTTTTATATGAATATTCATTGGTTTTTAAAAAATTATTAATACTCAATCATCTCTGGAATTTGTTTCATTTTCGAAATATTGTCATATCACAGACATAAAATCAATGAATATACAGCCCATTGCTTTGCATAATGTATTCATGAAGACACAAAATCCAGCATCATAAAAATGCAAATTACACCATACCATACCCAGAGTTATCTAGCTGTAACTTCTAAGATAGAGCCTATTAACTTTTTAAGCAAATAATATTTGAAATTATTTTATAACATCTATTATTTGGATGATTTAAAAACACAAAACAAAATCAAGAAATTAAAATTATGATAAAATCATGGTTAAAATAAAATTATAAACTGTAAAAACAAAGAGATAAACTTTAATTGGATGCAGTTAGATCACTATTAAATACTTGTTCTTTTAATTAAATCTACAAATTTTTGTTGTAATAATACTTACAAAAATTTATAAACATTTATAACATCACATACAAATTTTTAGGACGAGATATTTGTGAGGTCGATAAAATTTTTGTTTGAAAATATTCATTTAAAATATAATACAAAAAAGAAAAAAAATACACAAGTAGAAAATTTTTATAATAATTCAAATCCAGTGAAACAATATTGAATATTAATATATTAGTATAATGTAAAACCAGTTTTCCAAATTTAAAACAAATATAATTGCTTTTAGTAATTCCATAATTATTTTTTATTGATATAAATTATCTTCCTTATCAAAATTATCATTCATATTTTTCATGATGTGCAATTTCTGTATTAACTTATTATTTTAGTTTGTCATTATTGCATAAGTTTATTAAACTTTAAAATTATTAATCAGATTTTTTAAAATTCCTTTTAAAAAACAAATTTAATGAAATACATATTAAAAATGACAAAAAATAAATATACTTTGAAGAATTTTACAAAAATTGTATTGATTTAAAAAAAAAAATTTTTTCTTACTTTTATAAATGAAAATACAGTATATACATTTTTGGGATGAGTTATTTGAGTTGTTAACAAGATTTTAGTTTGCTTACAACAAAGGAAAGAATTTTTGGAGTGTTATTAGGATAAAAGTTGTAGATTTAATTGATATAGTATTATTTTAGTGATTAACTTCATCTAATTCAAGTTCATTTCTCAACTTTTAGAGAGTATAATTTTAATTACTAGTATATATTCTATACGAACAGTTTATTTCTGCTTAAATATATTTAAAATAACATCTATCTATGAAATTTCTTTCATGTGTATTCTGCTGGATAGTTCAAACATAGTTGAATTTAGAAATTATATCGAATTATTTGAAGATAATACTATGAAAAATATTTATTTCTGAATTACTATATACAGAAGAAGATACCTCTTTTTGAAGTTTACATTCTACAAAACACTCCAACATTTGTAAATTTCCATATTTATAAGATAAATACATTAAAACATTGAGGCTAGGAGATTGAAAAAAAAAATATATATATATATATGTTACAAAATAAAACCACATTATTTTCATACAAATTTCATATAACTGAAATTGTTTTGCACCAGGTACAGCTAAAAATCTATATATAACAGCACCTATTTCTAGTAGATATAAAGCTCTACCATCCCCAAGTGGTAAGGATGAAAGGAAAGATGATGTCTGTGGCATCGCCAGTTCCGATTTTTAAACTTGTGTTTTTAAGGAAAGTTTTAATTTTGACAGCCAAGTAGCCTGCAGAGAAAGGTCGGTTGTCAAAAGTTTGTATTCCAGAACACTGTTTAAAAAGGAACCATTAATAAAAACATAATAAATATTGAGTTATTTTAGCTTGCATGAACTTATTTATTTTTAAGAAAATTTTTTTGGTAATTTTGGTCTGTAAGTTTGGTTGCATTAAGAAGTAGTCTTTGGTCTCTTTCAAACTGAGAATGTTTTTTTTTTACATTTTCAATATAGTAATAATTCAAAAATAAATATTTGTTTTCAGTATGAAGCATAAATTCTCATATTGAAAACTTAAACAGTTACATGTCTGCATTTGAAATAAGCATAATAAATCAATCATGATTCATGAAGTATTATTTTTAGTAACTTGTTATTGCATCAGCAAAACATCAATATATAAGCATGATGATAATTTGTTTAGAAACTGAATGAATTCAAGATTAATTCAAAATTAATTGTACATAAAATATAAATGCTTTCAGAAACCATTTGTATTATTGTTTTGCTACATTACTAAATTGATTTTGAATTTCCTTTTTTCAAAATTTAACAGTATAAATAAAAGAATCAAATTTAAGAAAAAATATTTATTAATTACTATGTTTAAATCTATATAATATAGAATTTATCTCTAACCTGATTAAAAATTTGTGCCAAAGGAGTATGAATGTAGTTATTCACTTGATCCATCATCATCATTTTAACAGAGAGACCAGAAAATGGTGAAAATAATGCATGGCTTTCCATTGACGGCTTAGATGTTACAGACCCTACTGGATGCATACTCTGAATTTGATAATATAATGTTATATCCATCCACAAAAAGTACATCAGTAGTAGTAATGAAACCACTACTGTTGCCCTATACTCTAGTATGGCAGCCATCATGTTACGGAATTTTTCTGCAGCTTCCTTCTGCAATTTTTCACTGCTTCTTAGTCCAAATGACATACATCTACAATTATATCAAAAAAAAAAAAAAAAAACATTCAATTTTTCAAATTTATTAAGTACATTTTCTAATATAAACTATAACTAATTCCTGCAACTATTTTTATATTTTATTCCATAAAAAATGAGAAACAAATATTATTTATTTATTTATTTAAGAAGCTTCTATTGCTTAAAAATAAATTAATTTCAATTTTTTTAAAAGTTAGCGCATCATAAGATTGAACTTAACAAACACATACTTGCAGGATTATAGGAGCTGAGGTATTTAATTAAGGATAAAGTGTTTCTCCAGACCTTTCATCTCAGCTTCAGATTTCCTAACTCATCTGAGAAGAAATGTCATGTAAAACATTTTATCCTTAAATAACTCGGCTCCTATAATCCTGTATGTTCATTGTGTTAAGTTTATTTCATAAGTTTTATATATATAAAACTTCTTATTAAACACACACACACACACACCAACCAGCACATTTCTTTTGAGTAAATAACAATTTTTTAATTAAAAAAAAGTTTTTATTTAAAATTTTATATTTAGAAAAAGTGTTTTTAATACAAAATTGTAATATTAATAAAGCCTTAATTTATTTTTTAAACTAAATATTTTATATATATATAAAATACTTAGCTTAAAAATTGTCATAGTACATTTTTCCTTCACAAAAAAAATATAGAAACAGTGGTATTAGGAATTGATGAACTGTCACAAATGTTTTGAACAAGTGAGCAAAGAAATGGGCAAAGTTGCTTCAATTCCTCACCCATGAAGCACCCCTTGGGTGAGGAAGTGAAGCAAGAAGGATGACGTGAGCAGGGGAGTAAAATGAATGAGAGTAAGAAGATTGGGCATCCATCCCATAGGTGGTATAACAAAGGGAGTAAAGCAAGGGGGAGCAAAGTGAATGGGAGTTGGTCCCTAATTATCAGAAAATTTTTTGTTATGAATATTCTATGTTGGAAACAAGTGGGCCAAACCCTTTAGGGCATGTGAGTAAAGTGCACCATGGAATCTAGAATGTTTTTTCATGGGATATTAAAAAAAAAATCACATTTGACTGATTAAAAAAATAATGAATTTTTCTGTTTTGGAATATGAAAGTTTTATGTTTGATTTTGATGGAGAAAGTCCAAAAGGTAAGTTTTTATGTGATATGAATAAACTGGTTTTTCCAATTAATCTGTTGTGGAAGTGCATTTCGAAACAAATCTGTACTTTGCTTATGTTACATAATCCTCACCTGGAATTAGACAGATGAAGGTATATATATTATTCAAATTTTTTTATAAATAGTCTATATTAGAAACAGAGTTGGACTACCAAAAGTAGCCAGAGGGTGAATCCCCTTAGTATTATCGTAATAGCCCGTCATCGTAATCACCATATACATACAAAACTGATGATTATTTTTTTCTTTATACTAAACTAAACTAAAAATCTACTTTTAACAGATTCATTTAACTTTTTTATTATAAAATGAATTCAAGTTTTTTTTATCAATATATTAGAAAAATCTCACTATTTAGCATGTTTACAATTATACGAATAAAGTTGAAATATTTTAGGTAAGTTTGTTATGACAATTTAGTATTAAAACAAATTTTACTGTAAATATAATACTAAATCATATCATCATTTTCAATTAAGCTATCAAATATCACATTAAAATATTACAAAAGCTTATTTAGTTAGCTATCAGCATATATAATCAAAATTTTAAATAAAATAAGGTATTATTCAGAAACATCATATCATTTTTCAATTAAGAAAACAATTAAGAAATCTTTAATATAATGATTGCAGCTTTATTCACATGCTGATATTAAATATTTGTGATTTAGTCGTCTAATCAAAACAAATATAATTTTACTAAAATTATTATTTTCAATGCTAATTAAATGGTTTTTTCAACATATACAAAATATTTGCGATGATAATTACTCGGAAGCAAAACCATTAAAAATTCATACCACAATTGATCTTAATGACTTGCACATGTTATGTAATAGAAAACCAGTTCAAATACTTTTATCTCTTACATTACAATCCTGATATAATTTATATAATATTACACTAATGATTATTTGAATGAACAATGTTATTGAGTTGAAATAAGGTTTTATTAGAATATATTTTTACTTAAACATGGCTGTCATTTTCACACATATAAAATCATCTTGCTCAAGGTAAATTATTCTGGATTTAATCCAAATATGCTTTATTAGAATATAGTTTCTGTTTGATTGTGTTAAATAATTTAAAATGAAAAATTTTATAATGTCATTTTCATGAAGAATATAATAAATCAATTAAAACTAGGTTGAATAGATATGCTTCATATAATTTATGCAATTATTTTTATTTATTTAAAACTGTTTATATGCAAAATATTGCATTTATAGAACAAACTATAATGTTTGCAATTTAAATTATATTTCATTTACAGAAAACAATACAACTAATAATTAAATTTACATGAAAACCTATGGAAAGTAAACTAGAAAACAATATTTATCTTTAAATGAAAAGTCTAATTAGCTTTAAAATCATTGCTAAATGATTGTCCAGTATGTATATTATCCTTGAAATACCTTCTGCACAAATATCATTAAGCATAACAGCTGGAAAAAAACTGTAAACATATTAGTTTTGCTTGCAATACTTTTAACTGATTAGTTCAAAGTTTAACCTTTTCATAACATTAAAACTTAGTTTCTAATTAATACTGAAAAATTATCATAATGCAATCATTCAACTTTATTTTCAAGCTATAAAACCAAAGTCCCATTTAAAGTTTATAAAATTTTTTTACACACATATATAAGAAAGAACAACATAAATTATTTAGAAAATGGAGCATTTGTTAACCCATTTCTTTTCTTTTTAAAAATTAAAAGCAATTACAGTTTAGGCATTACCTAATTGTGTAAAATTTAGGAATAAGTGTTTTTTTTTTTTTTTTTAATAAAACAAGCAAAAAAGAGAGCTTTAAATTTGGAAAGTAAAGGCTTTAAAAATCCATTTAAAACATCTAAAAATAAATGAAAAAGAAAAAAAATGAATAAAATAAAAATAATAAAAAAGGAAGTATAAGCAACAAGGTCAAATATTTGGCAGGGTGACAGCAATTCGTGTTTTATGCCAGATGCAGTTTGTCAAGGTCTTTTTGCTTATGCATCTCATATCTGACGTCATATATTCTTGCATTTTCACATCACAGGGTCATTGATTTGTTGTTAATATACATTTTGGCACATTATGAAGAAAATCTTTGTAGTATTTCCAATAACAAAAAAACATATTTACTTTCATTTTAACGTCATTTTTATTCTTGTATCCATCTATCAAGGGAGATTCATTTTCCAAGACAATCAGATGTCAAACGTCGTTTGACACTTAATAAACAGTAACGTAGTCAATGTGGTTAAACAACTGAATGCTTTATAACTATGACAATTCAAAATTAATGTTTTGCAATTTATATAACCTAAAATAATAATAATAATAATAATAATATTCCGCGGAACGTAAGAGAATATTAATCAGTATGAAAACTCTTACTTACTTTCTATCCCTGTACGATTTCATTATATTGTTCCGAATTATAGTAAAAGCATTTCATGTATTACGTGAATCTAAACAGGTATTAAAACATTAACTGAAAGAAATTAGACTGTATCGTTATGGCCCAGAAACCTCAAACTTGTTAACTAATATCGAACGAATAAAGTTGAGAAATGATCAACGTAGCAGCAAAACTGACCTTCATTTGTTTTTTTCATTGTAACAACACTCCTCAATAACAAATTTGCTATTCACTAATTTTTAATACTGTGTAAATTATACCATAGATATTATATTTCGTACAATATATCAATTTTTTTTCATGTAAATTATGTGAAATTAAGACACAGTACATTTATTATCCATGGCTCATTGTAATTCGTTAACTATTCTACACGTTTAAGTGTATAGAGTACACAGGGTAGAAGCTATAAAAATAAAAAAAGATGTAAAGATGATCTGAATAAAAACAATTTGCGATTACAATAGATTTAGAAAATGTAATTTATTCCTGAAGTGATGAAAACTTTTGATGTCAAAAATTGCCTGTATCTTTTAATTAGTCTACGTTTTACGTATGACTCATCGTTGTAGCAATTGCATCTTTCAACAGAAACAACTTTAACGATAACAGTTGACGTCACTCGAAAGTTAGATAACGAAACATCAATACAGGTAAAGAATACACATTAAAAAAAAAACTTCGATATAATGAAAGCAGTGATCATAATTCTATTGATAATCTATCTATTCAGATACTGAAAATATGCAGGTATTATATTAAAGAGGCAGAAAGTTAAGCATTATTAGAAAGAGAATCACCTTATAATAATAAAAATATACATATTATATTAAACAGAACATGAGATTTGACAAAAAAACTCGATCATTTTTGACAGAAAATAATCAATGGCATTTTATAAATATCGTGCTAGAATTATATTTAAATGGCATTCATCTTTAAAACGATGATTTAGCATTACCTTTAATAGTGACATCCCATATCATTAAAAGTAAAACGATACATTGAAAGAATTAGAATTTTTTTTTTTTTGTCTAATAATTTCAATAGCAAGATATCAATATAAATTAGCTTAATTCCTTTACCTGTGATTATAATTTATGCCTACAACTGCAGTAATATAGCCTATATATTTTTATTTGATTCAATAATCGATGAATGGATTGCGAATTGCAAACATTTGCGCAATCTGTATTGATTATCATTGATCATCAAGTTATTTTTAGTTCAGCTGATAAAAATTAGCAAAAACAAACAACTGTGATTCCGTTTATATATAATAATAGTAATATAATTCCAAATAAATTAATACAAGATCGTATAAATTGAATTAGATATTTAAAACCGCAAGAAATTAGTGATGTTGCGGCCGAAGTTTTCATCTCTTAAACGTGAACGTCGAACGTCGAGCGCCTCTTCTTGTAAGCGACGCTCGACGTTCGACGTTCGCGTTTTAGAGATAAAAACTTCGGCCGTAACCTCGATAATATTTAAGAGTAAGAACCGTTTGTGACTTCTGTAGGAGGGCGCTGTATCGAGGTTTGACTGTATTAAAACTCCTATCTTCGTAAGCATTTCTTTATTATAGCTTATCGCATTATATCGAAATTTAAAAAAAAAAGTTTAATTAAAAATCACACTCTGTCAAATTTCGTTAAATTAAAATTGTTTTCATTTTTTTAAAAATAATAAAAATACTAATTTAAAAATTTTCAAATAAAAATGATTTTAATCCTTAATTTGAATAATAGATGGCGCCCGGAGGCGTAAAAGAGTGGCACGGCGCCGCTCTAGCGCTTCTCGTCATCAATCATGGAATGCACTNAAAACTATGGGAGAAAAAGGATAAACAGTAGTGTCGAGAATTACACTATTTGTAGATTATCCTCCATATTTCTTTATAACGAAAATAATTAAATTTTCTACACGAAATGCCCGTTTTTTTTAGGTTTAAAAAAAGGAATAATTATGGTTGTTCATCGGTGTGAGATCCCAGTCTGAATAGTACTTTATCAATGCACTAATTTGTTACGTTATAACGTAAAAATTCAATAATTTTTTTTGTCTTATTGTATAAAACAGTAAATAAATAGAAAAACGAATATAGAACAAGAAAAACAAACATTTTCTATGTTTTTTTTCGGTGTAACATGACAAATACAATACAATGATATAATATATAACAGTAGGATTAATTGAAATGAATTGATTTTATATTTAACAAATGTCTATTGTTACGATAGAATGTGTAACGCAGCGTAAGTACAAATCGTCATATTTTATCATCGTGTAAATTAACGTTTGACATACAATTGATTGAAATATCTTCATTTATAATATTACATTTTTTTTTTTCAGTAACAGCATTCGTCTATTCAAAATTTTATTTTAATATCAATAATTTAATAGTATTAACTGCAGAAAAATTATTAATATATTCAACATTTTTATTCGTTATTGATTTTTATCGAACTTGATTTTTTAATGACGTTCAAATTGTCATTTTCTTTATTATTATTAATAAATAGCACCCTGTTAAATTAATATAAAATAATTTTTTTATATATATCTAATTTATCAATATGGCATTAGTTACTTTGATAGATATCACGTGAAAACACTATATTTTTTTCATTGTGTACAGGCAAACAAGTACTGTATTTTTGTAGATCGTATTATTGGAAGAATTTTATTATTTTTATATACTGTATTATATATTTGTTTAGAATTTATAACACAGTCAAATTACTATTGTATGTAATTATATAAAAAGAGAACAGGAAAAGACTTATGAATAAAAATTAGAAACTGGAACCGCAATTTACTCAACTTATTATGCTTATTTAACTAATTAAAAGTTATATTATTGCGAAAATACTTTTTTCTTTGTTGACATACTGTAACTTACATAATACTAGAATTATTTGCATTACTACAATGCTTCGATTTTATATATAGACAAGTGATTTTAATATAATTATTTCTTAACTATCGCATTTTCTTTGGAATTTTCCATACAGTTTATTTATTTATTTTTTAAATCAAATAACAGATTAGTTAGTTGAGATAATTTATCTATCAAGACTCACCTATGAGATGTTAATTCATTATATTTCTTTTTTAAAAATGTAACAAAATAATATAAAATAAACGATTATTCACTTTCTTTTTTTTAAATATTTAATTGTATTTTTGTTTAAGAATTTTAAAAAAAAATTCTAACTGAAATAACAATTAGAAATTAACTCAAATATCATGTTTTATAAATTTATGTTAATGTAAAGAATGTGAGATTCTTCCTGTATCTAATCTAATACAATATTTACAGATATTATCTATAAATTTTCGAATATTTTACTGTAATAAAATTAAAATTTTTAGAGACTTTTATGGAGTTATTAACACTAATATTAAAGCACGTAGAGGGAGGAGGAATTGTTCAATCCCTTTCCTAGAATTCTGATTCATTAGAAAGGAGATTTATTCTCTTGAAATAGGAAAAAAAAAATCTTTGTTTATAATAGGAAATAAACCGAACTCTCTTACAGTACATGAAAAAAGTTTAAATTTAACGTTTTAGTTTTCATTTCTTGAATTAACAAGCAACTCTTTCTGAACGTTTCAAAAATATCGAAAGAAACAGTCGACTCCTATTTTACAGTCAACGGAATAAAAATAATTTTTGTTTGCTTCCAAAAATAAAATCAAGCTAAGGTCAAATAAGATTTAAAAGCATGTACTTTATTATAATGATAGAATATATTCAATAACAATCTTCTTAAAAGGTTGAGTTCATTAACAAAAGTAGAAAATGGGGAAGAGGATTGTTAAGTGAATACGATAGCGTGCTTAATGTCAATGAATGTTTAAGCTTAAATTCCAAACTTGACATTTAGTCCTATCTTAAAATGTTGTCATAGAAACAGTACAGAAGCTAAATTTTTAACTTTTAACTTAAAATAATTGGAAATTTAATATGTGTCAATACCTATTTCGCGAAATTATTCTTATTTATTTGTTAACTGATTTGTTGTTATTGCGATATTATTTTCTAGGTAAAACTCATTTTTTTAAATAATTATTTAAGAGTAAAAAAAAAAAAAATATTTTTAAACATCAATTCGATAATTTAATACAGATAAAAGTGGTACGAAACGAAAAAAAAATGGCGTCGGATAATAATTTATATTCTAAAACTGGCTCGTAGCCATGGCATATATCCCGTTAAGTATTTTAAATAAGCACCGAATTTCAATAAAGAAATTANGTACCGTAAGTCTAATACAGTACTGTAATTTTATACATTTCTTGTGAAAGAAACATTTCTTATTCAACGGCGATTAAAATTATTTATATTAATGATGTCTCTGAAGTTCAAGGAACTATTAGCAGAGAAATAAGTTATTAGAAATCGGCCGCGGTTTGCTGAGCTGTTCCGTGACGAAAACAATGTTGAGCAATGGCGATGTCACCATTCGACATCGGTAAGTAATTCTACAATTTTTTGTTTATAGCATAGTTTATACGGATTATTCCCAAAAAAATATACGTATTTTGNCAATAACTATTTCGCGAAATTATTCTTATTTATTTGTTAACTGATTTGTTGTTATTGCGATATTATTTTCTAGGTAAAACTCATTTTTTTAAATAATTATTAAGAGTTAAAAAAAAAAAAAATATTTTTAAACATCAATTCGATAATTTAATACAGATAAAAGTGGTACGAAACGAAAAAAAAATGGCGTCGGATAATAATTTATATTCTAAAACTGGCTCGTAGCCATGGCATATATCCCGTTAAGTATTTTAAATAAGCACCGAATTTCAATAAAGAAATTAAGAAACACTCAACAGGTCACGTTTTTTTTATTATTATTATTTGAGCAACGTAAAAATCAACATAATTTTTTCCGGTTTCATTCCAGTTTCTTTCTATTTCCGGTTCATTTAATGGAGTTTAAGTAGCATTAATACGAAAGTTAAATATGTGGTAATGCGGTTATCTTAAAATATCGGTATCGAAATATGATTGTTTGAAACTAATTTAAGTGATAAGTAAAAAAGTAATTGTGTAATTTAAATAAGATAAAGATTGCACAACGTTTCTAAATTACCTATAGAATTTTATATATGGAAACACGTGAAAAATGATCTCGATCAATTGTTCTTCTCGTTAAATTACGGTACAGATATAAAATAGAATGAATATTGAAGAAGAGTATTGTGTAGATTTAGTAATACATAAAATAAATTACGACACATTGTTGCCAAGAGGAGGCGAGTTACCTATTTAGAAATCATCATCAGGATTCAGATTGCATGTTTAAAACTGGGGCATACCGACCGCGAATTTTCTCATATTTTACACTTATCTTTACCAGTTACAATTGATTAAACTGTTTAAAAAAAATCGACTAACTTTCGTTTTGTCTTGTATTTATGAGACTATAAAAAGGTGAAAACAATTCTTTTAGTTAGTTATTACATATATTCGAATCTATCTTAAATAATTAACTAGTTCTGACAAAGAGTTTTGTATGTTGTATTACATCACAGTTCGTCAACACGTGCCACAAATACAAGCGGTATTCTAACACTATAACAACACTTCAGTATATCACGAGGTTACTATTTTAGAAAGTGATTAATTTAAAACACTTACCGGTATTATTTATATTGTTTATACAGTCGTGTGCGTAAAATAAACAAAAACATGAAAAATGTTTTTACAGTAAGTGGTCATTGAGTTAAAGAAACCGCTGTTGGAATCTGTCTCGTTGCCAATAGCAACAGGCTGGTCAGTGTGATACATAAGTGACGTCACACCAACCAAATTATTAAAAATTAAACAAACACCGGAAAATGTTTATTAAAACTCCATCAATTATTTCAATTCTTTATACATTTATTAATTATCCACACACACACACACACATACATACGAATGGTGCATATGAAATATGAATATGCTATTAAAGTAGAATAAATATGTGCTAGCTTTTTTTTTTACTTCGTCTTCATTCTTTCTTCTATCTTAAAGATTATCGAAATGTAGTTTTGTAACATTCTTCTCGGTCACCTTAGATAATATTGTATCAATACCTATAGTGTTTTGGATCCGATATAATGAATTTAAACAGAATTATCGGTAAGGCCTTGAAAAGATAGATTGTATCTCGTTAACGCCGATTATCTTTACCTCTTATACAATTTAACTATCCAACAATTAACTAATTAAGCTATAAAACTGTACGAAGAACTGCAAGCGCATTTATCGCATTTATTGTTCTAATAAAACTAATAATCAAATTAATACAAAAACCGGAATATATTTTCTCTTATTCAGCATCGAGAAAAACCTATTAAACTTTAAATTAAGCAAGCCCTTGAAATAATTACCCTTGTTTTTATGTGGAAGTGAACTTCATTAAAAAATAATAATAATAATGACATACATTTCATTACTACACGACCGGTTAAAATAACCGGCATCATATACCACACATAAAAAAACAATATACAGCTTTTTTTTAAACATTACAATCTGACAAACTGCAGAGAAGACGAGTTATCAAACAATACCGAAAAAAAAATAAGAATAATTGTTACTTCTTACGTATTAATCATCACTTACCTACTTTTCCGTGTTTATTCTCCCTGTATAAAGTTACTCTCCTATTGAATACAATCAATATGATAATCTGCGCGCGACCGTCTTCCTTCCTCTTCCTTAGATTATGAATCAGAAACACACTTGTATACACACACCAACCGGTTGAGGCATGCGCAGATTTTACTTCCGATCGGGAGCTGTGTCGTCACAATACATTTTTTCTTTTTGTTTTCCGCTTCTGTATTTTTTCGTTGCCGGTATCGGAATTTCCTATAATTAATTTATTAACGTGTTTTCACCTCCTTCTTTTTACAAGTATTTAAAAACGTCAACGGGTGTTTTAAATATTAATAGGTAAATAATACTCTCGGAAAGGCTGTAAGATACAACTTATCCGTTTTTAGGAAATGGTATTTCCTGTTGTCATTTGTATGTTGTGATACCCTAAATGCAGTAAATTTTTTAATATATATTAAATATTAATATATATACAATTAATCGCTGATGTATTTATCATATAAAATATAGGTATATACTGTATACAGGGCTCGTCGATGGAAGAATCGGGGGATTTTTCCCGAAAAAAAATTTAGTTTTAACTCCTAAGCATTAAATATTTTACTAAAAAAATAAAATGGTATTTATTAGTGAAGAAGTTTACTATTTATCTCTTTTTTTTCTAGTAAAAAAACAGCACGTTGAAGAGTAAAAGGGATCAGCTCTACCCCCGACTTCATACCAAGCTTTCGAAGGTCCTGTATATATCGCAATTCGATTGAAACAAACAGGAAATTACTTCATATGCATAAAATGACGTATTTAATCAATAAATACCTAAAACATTTTACATATTCAGTGTTCACACGTCATACAAGGTATGCATTGTACAAATATCGAACGCAAATTTTTGCAATGTAAAAAGCGGCAGACGGGTTACTTTCGGTCCACTTAAAATCTATTACTCATTTATAGTGTATATAATTGAAAACAATAGCTAATTGTAGTATAAATTAATTAAATTTATTTCGAGAAAACGAAAATGTAGCTAAAAATATATCTTTAAAAAATGCGTGTAAAACGGGCAAAAAAGATACGAATCAACAGCGAAGACCTCTCGCCCTCTAGCGGTGCGAGTTCGAAGTCAAATTACACCTATTGAACCTAACAACAGAGACGTTCTGTCTCTCATTAATAGATACAGAAGTCAGAAACGGTGAGTAGTTCTAATTCGTACTGTACATTTAAATTTTAACAGTTTCTAAATTAAATGCAAGATAATACGCATTAAAAGATGTTATTCTACTGTATTTAAAAATAATAATAAGCTATACTTAATTGTTAGTTTTATTTGTCCACAGCACCAACGAGCGATGTTTCTCCCATATTCAAAACGTTGCGTACGTAATTTAAATATAATTTATTTATTCTTCTTGAAATACGAAAAATATACAGTCGTATAAAATATAATATTTACGAAAATTAAAAATTGTTTAATTAACTGTACTACTTCACAAGACTTAAATATAAACCGGTGTATTCACATAATAATAGATTCGAATAGCCCAGCTAAAAACAACAATGCGAACTTTTTACTGTTACTATTGCATGTATTACATAATTTGTGAAATGAATCACTGTTACCAGTACTTAAAATAAGTATTTCTGTTATCAACTGTGTTTTAAATTAGAAAATGCCGTTACGGTAATATTTAATTTGCGTTGTCATTACCTTTTACAAAGAAAAAAGAAAACATACGTTTGCGATATGACGTGTCTGAACTTCATTATCACTTTACTTCCTAAGAGAACTTCCAGTCAAACTCGGCAGGTTCATAAAGCTGAAAGTCTCTTGAAAAGTTGAAAGGTTAAATGTTAAACTCGAAGAATTGACGAAGTAGACATATGTCTAACAGGAGCCGAATTAATAATGCTCACTGAAACTAATTAACTAATTGTTTTACAAACTGTAACGAAACATTATAAAGCTTAAATTTTTCTTTTTAAGTTTACAGAAATACGTGCAAGAATTAAAGCCTCGCGACGTAATCGTAAAACTGAAAAACAAACTGACGAGACTTTCAGTTTTGTAACGTTCAGTTGGACAGAAACAAGACTGAAAGCTGAGTTAAAAAATATTTAACTTTTCCGTTTTCGTACCGCGCTTCTGTCGTACTACAATCAATAAAAACGCAAGGATTTGTGACGCGTAGTCACGTGCAGTTTGATTGTCGTAATGGCGGAAAGTGCAGCGAAAACGACGAGGAAATAGATTTGGAATTCTTCATCGAAGAAGTTAGAAAATACAAATGTCTGTATCGAATTATTTACATTTTTTTTTGTCGAACATTTATTAACAATTTCATTGTTAATAAATGCAGAGAAAGCACGGCAAAATCCGTATCCGTAGCGTCGTCCACGTTTGACTGTACGACAATTACAGAACTGATCAACAGATGGCACATTTCTAGTGGAGTCAAGTTAAAATGAAAACATAACTGAAACGAAAACTCTATATGTTTCAATTCTGTTTGTTTTCTGGTAATGTTGAGTCCAGGCTTAACTTAGCAGAGTTCTAATTCTAATGTTGCTTAACCATTGGTACGAGACCAAACTTCTTCGATCCTACCGGTTAGGTTCAATAGGTGTATTGACTTCGAACTCATTCCGCTAGAGGTCGACAGGTCTTTGCTTTCGATTTGTCCGTTTTACATGTGTTTTTATAAGCATTTTTTAAAAGTAAATTTTCGTTTTCTTAAAATAAATTTAATTTCTTTATTCGATATTAAAGCTGTCAATTATACCAATTATTAACGACCAGGAAATGACTATAATAAAATTTTCTACTCTACTAAAATTTCCAAATTTAAAAATTCTATATTATTTACAATTTTGTATATCACTCTACAAAAAAATAAATACAGTATACAATTTTTGATGGAAATTCTAGTGTAACAGATTGATCCAGACTAAAATTATTCCATTACTTATTGCATATATTCTTACATTAACGCCACTTGTTCTTTAATGAAGTGCCATATATTATTATTGTAATATTAATGTCACACGTGTGGAAGAAAATTACTACCTTTGTGAACATTTATCAAACTATTCTTTGGAAGATAAATTACTACTTTAATATCTTGATTGTCACAACTAAATTTAAAAACAAAATGCTTCAAAGTAAAATATGTTTATAAAGAAATTCTGTTTTTGCTCTTCCTACTATTTATGAGAATTTGCAATATGCAATTCTTCAGCGCATATATATATATATATATAAAATAGATACGTTACTTATATACAGTGTATATGTTCTGTTTTAATTCTTTCAAGCTGTTAATTTTCAGCAACCTTATTATTATTGAATTATTCTAACACTTTAAAATAAACTATAACAACTAATATGGTAATTTAAATAATTATTTACTGGATAATTAATCTCAAAATTACTATTACAAATATAAATCTTTGTATAGTAAGCATTAATACAGAAATCCGTATTAATAAATTATTTTTATGATTATTGCTGAACTTTAATTACTAAAATTTGCCAATCACTTGTTTATTCAAAAGCAATAATGAAATGGTTCAGTCATTAAAAAATAATTATCCTAGACTTAATATATTATTCTGCAGCTGTTTTCTTCATAAACATATAAAATATAGAATGAAATATATTCAATTCTGTCATGCAGCTGTTTTCTCTACAAACATGAAATATAGAATGAATATATATATATATATATATTTTTTATTTATAAATAGAGGAACACACTATCTTTCAATATTAAAAATTTTATATTAAAACAATTCAAAAGTACACAAATACTTTGTGTGATTGATTGTTGTATTGATGATAAACTATTAATTATAAATTAAAACCTCTGAATTAAAAATAGCAACAAGTTAGACAAAAGTTCATTTTTCAAATTACACTTTTCAAAAATAGCTCTTACATATTATAATAATGTAACATTATTGATGTGATGTCTTCATATTTTTGTATTATGATAATTTTATTCTGTCTGTTTTCTAGATTCTAGGATTTATTAGTTAGATTATATATAATTTATATTTACATACAAAATTTATATGTATCCTTTATGTTGCTAAAAAATTTTTTTAATAGAAAATATTAAATTATCCTTTTGCAAATATATGTCTTAATTTATAAATTTATTTTTCAGTAATTTCAAAAATAATTCTATCACAACACAGATTTGAAAAATTCATGATTTTTTTTTTTCTATTTATAATAATAAAAATAAAGTTCTTAAGTATTTATACAGAAATTTTTTATTTATACAGGTTTGGTTTGTTTGGCTTCCGTCAGTGCT